ACAAAATGATGACGCGGCCCGGTGCAACCGCGGCCCCCGGCCACCAGCCGCGGCGCAGCGCGTTGCGCTCGCAGCTTTCGGGCGCTGGCGAGGCTGAGCTCGGCGCTCCACTCAGCGCCCAGGTCGCCTTCGGTTCAGGTGGCGAAGCGTGGCTGCTTCTAAGCGGTTTATGAACAAATGGCGCTTTCGGCCTAAACACCAGGAGGTCCGCATCTCCCACAAAAATTTGCCATTTTGAGAAACTCCCATTGGGCAAACAAAGAAGCCACTGAGAAAGAAGTGGGAGGGCATATTCCTGCTCCCACTGAGTGGCAGGCAGAATGGCCAAGCCCTTGGTTTGCTCCCTTAGTCTTGCACTTCCGCAATTCCCTGACACTAACCATCAGCGTGGAACCAACAGAACCCCAACTATAGAATCACCCAACATGTTGGGATCTTCATGTGCCTTCGCCTTTCTTTTAGCCCCTGAAAATCCGAATCCGAATCGGAGAGCCCGTTCCCAAGCTTCCAGCATTCGGCCCTTGGGTCCCGCGCCGCCGGTCCGCAAAGCTTGGACCTTTGCCAAGTTCTCCACCTTCAGCGACAGCCTCAGGAAACAAAACAAAAAAACATGCGGCTTGGTGCCGCCCACCGGAGGTTCTTGGCACCTTCAATGGTTCTTCGGGCTCTTACGAACAAATGCTGAATATGCCAGTCGGAAGAATTTGCCCACTGATATCTGGGCACAAGCTGACAAGGAAACATGGCCAACATCCAACGTGTGCAGTTTTGTCCTGGTTTGGAGCCACCGCAATAGACTTACTTTTGTTAAAACCTCAGCCACCTCCGCATTTCTGGGCAAGCGGTGAGCCTTTCAGATCAAATGCATGGAAGCCTGGACGCCGCTGGTCCGGTAGAGATCTTTGTGCGAAAAGAAACACTCAGGGGCCATCTCCGCTACCCCAAACAGCTTTAGTGATGACCTCAGGTGTCTTGCGTCGCAACTCAATCTGGCAAGAGCATGTTAGAGGTGTGCATACTACCCATGGGAGTGCTTGATGATGACATGTTCGGGGAGGTGGCATTGTATTAAGACACTCCTTCACAGCATGCGAAGCGCGTGTTGCCTTAGCAGAGAGGTTCACGCGCACACACACACACACACAATGTTTTGTCATTCCCTGAATGGCCCTGCCCATTCATCAGGTCCGCAAACATGCACAAAAGGCCGTCAGAAAAACATGTTTGTCCAACCACTTGTAACACTTGTAACACTTGTTTGAACGTGTCAGCAAAACTATCATACGCAGAAGTATTCCGCACATCCTTGGCTTTTCTAATGAACACGCTTGTGACTTCTCCAAAACTCAAACCTACCTCAAGTTTTGTTCCAAAGACGTCGGCTTTGATTTGTTTTCCAGATTTGGTGAACCCGGACGTGGATGCTACTTGCAGAGGAGATCTTCTTTTGGGGGCCGCGCCATTCCGCGGCACCCCGAGCCCCGGCATTTTGCGGGGCGTTCCCGTGGAACGCGAGTTCGGGTTTTCGTCCCCCGGTTTTCCTCCGGCCTCTTGCCGTTGTGGAGCATCACCGGCAGCCTCCCCAGCTGGGCCTGGGAGGGGTCCAGCAACAGCACCGTGCCCTTCTGGCCATTCAGCTCCAGCTTGGAGAGGCCCCTGGCTCTCCGAAAACGCGCGCTGTTGTTCGTGTTTGTTCGCTTTTTCCCCCGCACAATTCAGGGTCAACATCAGTTCGCCCGCTACCCCGTTTGGCACATCACCGAAAGATAACTGTAATTTGAGAAACCAACTGTAAGTGGATGGCTCAGCTGAATGCTTCTTGCGCACGACTTCAAAGCCACGTAGCAAGCTGAAACATTTAAACATGCCCTAGAGTTATTCCCCGTGAAAGCTCATAGCTAAAACGAGGCACACGGATAATTCGGCTGAAAAGCTTGATCTTTGGCTGGTTTGTGCCGTCCTGATGGCCACACAATTGGACCGGGAAACCAAAAGGCCGGTTTCCAAAATACGCGTCTCCGCCCGCAGGAATCTCAGCCTGGCGCCCCCCGCGCCTGAGCTCAACTTCATCCCCGGCGGCAAAGCCCCACTCTTCCATGGGGCGCGCAGTGGCTGGGGCTTGCAGAGTGAAGTGGAAGTGCTTGAGTGGGGTACAGAAAGTGCGAGTGTGCGTAGGAGTGCGTGGGAGTGCGTGGGAGTGCGTGGGAGTGCGTGGGAGTGCGTGGGAGTGCGTGGGAGTGTTGGTGAGGATGCGGGAGGGCTTGGAAGTGTGTGTGTGTGTGTGAGGGTGGGTGCGGGAGGGATTTTGAGGGCTTGGGAGTGAGTAAGGCAGCGTCGGAATGTGTGGGAGTGCGTGGCAGCGCGGAGGAGTGTGAGGGAGTGAATTGGAGTTGTGTGAGTGTGGAAGCATGCGGATTTAAGCAGGCACATGCTGGGGCACGGGTCATATCCAAAGTTTGTTATGAACTCCGTCGTCACATGCCAAGTATGCGCTGACTGGCCTCTGCATGCATTAAGGCAGCTCGAACAGTTCCGATCTGCTTGAGATGGCCGCCCCCAATAGCAAAAATCCCACATGCTGCTTCCTGACGTGTACTGGACGGTTTCAAGCTTGCAAAAGATGCCGAGATGAGATGTGAAACAAAACTGAGCCAGCAAAAGTCGGCAGGTGGTGCGTGCACTGGACTGGCGCAAGCCAAAAGCACAAATCGGCCAGCAAAAGCATGAAGAACGATGCCCGTGGAAGTTCGTCGTGCAGAATATCACCCTCAAATCATGCGGTGTGTTGCTGATATTGGATTCTCAGCAGTCGCAAACACACGCACAACATAGCGCCAGCGGCGCTGCCGAAACATCGAGCCAGACTCCGAATTCACTTATCCCGATACCAATTTCTATAGTTCGCCCAAAGCTGGGGGCTCACAAGTCCCCAAGAACCCGGACCACACAAAGACTGTAAGAACGCAGGGAAAACTGATCAATGCTACAATAATCCCAAACCAACCTCAAGGGATGGGCCGTTTTTCCCGCGACATGTGAGCTCGCCATAGTATAGCAAAAGCATCCAGTAGCTCTAAACGCAGAAGCGTAACACAAGTCTCGAGGTCGCGCGGACAACTGAGCTGGCACAGGAGCGCAGGCAGCAACTGTGGAAGACAACGCAGCATTCGAATGACTGGGTTTCCCGAACTTGGTAACCACCCCTGTTGTTGTTCTAGAGGGAGACCAAGAAGGGAAACCGGCCATTTCTTGATACGCAAACCAATTCAACCACGTTGTTCTTCGCGGCTCCTTGTTTAGGAAACCATATTCAACCCCACTTTCTCTTGTGGGAACCCAACATTTTATTTTGCAGAATCTCAGCAGAAAGCTCCACATTCCAAGAGGTCCAAAACACCTCACAAAGGGGTCGCACCTGCATCGCCTGCTCTGAGGCACGAGAGGACTCCAGCTGCGCCTGAAGCCCCAAAGTGAGAACTTGGGGTCATTCTGGGTTTGTACCCGGAAAAACCACCGGGGAGCCCAACCACTTTGGGGAGGGAGGAGGTTGGATTGACTCAGGGGCAAACCATCCAAGAGGGCCTTGGAGGGTGCTGAATATCAGGGCATTCCACTCAGTCGCCCCCAGAGGACCGCCAAAGGATCAGGACATCCCCTTTGCCCGACTAAAAGTAGACAGACTTGGAACAACCAAAAGACATGAAAAGGTCGGCTTGAGACAAGTGAGTGTGACCTCCAAAATGGGCTGCATTATTTTGGGTTTCCCTTCAAACAACCCCCTCAAATGACACATCTTTCCGAGCAAAACAGGGGTGCAGCGTGGGCGGAAGCCTTAGTTGGAATTGTGGGGACGTGTGATTGGGGACTACATTTCAATTTCCGAATTTTGGCACAATCGTTCGCGGACTGGGGGTCCTGGTTTGGACCAAACCAGGACCATGTTCCTGGATGGAAGCCGCTAAGTCCTGCGGCAACGGGAAGATAACTTTGACACCTCTCACTCTTTCGGAGCCAGCCCTTGAAATCCGTTGAAACAAACTCCACTTAATTTCCCCCCTCAAAGGGCACCCAGGCCGAAGGGTTGTTCCAGTGCCAACGGTTTCAAAATATCCCACACCGCTCCAATCATTTTAGGCCCAAACTTTAACGCCAGCTCAAAACAGGTTTTCTTTGGGTTTCATTTTAAAGCAACCTGACACAGGGCTCCACATATTTCCCCTGAAAACATCATCCCCACCAAGGGACACTCACCTTTCATGGGCCAAAAAGGTGAAGTTTAAAACCAAGGAAATCTAGGGAATCCCTGTGAAACGGGTAACCCCCCAAACACCAAACCCCTGCTCCTTTTCAGGGCATGCAAGTAACAAAACGACCCCCCGAGTCACAACCATCCGAATTTCGGGTACCCGATCCATCGGCCCGCCTCCAGGGCCGCGGACCTTTCCGCCAGCTCCTCCGCCTGGCGCAGCTCCGTGGTGAGCTCCTCCACCGTCCTCGCGGCTCCATATGGCGCGCTTCTGACCTCTGGAGATGTACTGCAACCTGCGGACTTTGTGTTTTAAAGGGACGCCAGTTTTTGCTTTGTTGAGAGTTGAGGGTGCTGCGACTTTCTGTTTTTTGGTTTAAAGGGACACCAGTTTTCGTTTTGTTCAGGGTGCTGCAACTTTCTGCTTTTTTGGCTGGAAGAGAAACCGAAAAGACCACATCCGTCAGTTTGTGGGCCTCTCTGTTTGGACACACACCCAATAGCGTCCTTACTGTACATGAAAACGACAGAAACAAGACGACAATGGGTGCTCAAATTGGAGGCGTTAGGGCAATTTGGAGACCCAGCGATTTCTAGACTGGTTAAATTTGAGAAAACCGCCCCCAAAAAACGGGGGACAGGGCCAGTGCTGGCCTTGGAAAGGAAAAAGGTCGAGCGAGATTCAACTTGGGATTTTTGTTGTTGATTTATTTTGGGGTTCTATTGTTTTTTCTCGTCTTGGCCAGTGAAATGCTGTATTTTACAGCATCTTCTCACGAAATGTACGTACTTTACACTAGCCCGTCAACATCATCAGCATCGTTTTCAACATCCCCAGCATAACCAGCAAGTCAAGGGCATTGGTTTTCTATCCTCAGCGTCATCAGTTCCTCTCCGGCAAGGTAGGTCGGCATGTATGTATGCATGCATGTTACAAAGCACCGGGGGAAGTCCCCACGCAAAAGTGAGGGTTCAAATTTCAATCTCTGTAAAGCGCCTAAAAATTAGCGGGGGGAGGGGGGTTGGCGGGGTGGCAGGCCCCCCCCCCCCCAAGATGTTCGAAAACTGCTGCCAGATCAAAAGACAGAAACAGGTCGGCTAAAGAGTACCGGAGGGCCCCACCCATGATGATCGAAAAACGATGATTGAACTGGTTCTAGTCTCAAAGCACCGGGGGCTGCCGCCCCCCCTGATGTCGAAAAAGCGATGATTCAGTTTGGGGTGCATTTTAATTCTGCAAAAGTCTAGAGAGTAGCGGGGGGTTGGGGAAGAGGCAGCCCCGCCTAGATGGAATCGTCACTTGTTCGATCATCATGGGGGTGCCCGGCTACTTTTTAGTTTTACAGAAATTGAATTGCGCCCCTCACTTTTTTGGCAATCATGGGCGGGGGGTGGGGGGGCTGCCGTGTATGTATGTATGTATGTATGTATGTATGTATGTATGTATGCGTGTAGGTACTGTACGCATTGACAGAGGCGGTTCTGTATAAACACCTGTTTGCATATGTTGGCTTTAAACCCCCCCGGACAACCCTCCGGACAGCTTTGAGGCCCGAAAACTCAGAAACCACTTGGAAACCACTCGGAAAGTCCCGCACTTTGTCCGGCACTTTGTCCCACTGCGCTCTGTCCCGCATACCGAGGGGGGTGTTTATGCAGAAGGGCATTCGTCAGTATATGTATGTATGTACGTACGTATGTATGCATGCATGTATGCATGTATGCGTGCATGTATGCATGTATGCGTGTATCCATGTGTGCATGTATGTATGTATGTACGTATGTACGTACGTATGTATGTATGTATGTATGTGTGCATGTATGCATACATGCATGTAGGTATGTAGGTTTTGTAGGTATGAAGATATTACGTGTGCATATGTGTATATATATATGTAAGTATATATGTAGGTATGCAGGTATGTAGGCATGTAAGCATGCATGACATGTATGTAATGTAACGTGCTGTGATGTCATGTCATGTAATGTGCTGTGTAATGCAATGCAATGCAATGTGATGTAATGTATGCATGTATGTATGTGTGTGTGTGTGTATGTGTGTGTGTGTCTGTAATGTAATGCAATGCAATGTAATGTAGCGCAATGCATGTATGTTTGTGTGTCTGTACGTGCGCATGTCTTTGAGCATCATGGAGGGGGGGCCGGGGGGGGGCTACCCCCCCTTCAGATTGAAACGAACCCCTATTTCAATCGACTTTTCGTCAATCCAGAAAGTAGAGGGGGGGGGTGACTGAGGATGCGTGAAGTCCTGCCGGAGGGGAACTGGAAACGCAAAGGATACGAAACCCTCCTTTCTATACTCCGATCTACCTCTCCTTCTCTTTGTCTCTATCCTGTCCAGTCTTTGTCTCTGTCTGTCCCTCAACCTGTCTCGCTTTAAGTCTGTGTCTGTCTCTCTTCGCATGTGCTGATACGTCTGTCAATTTATCTGTCCATATACCTGCCTATCTGCCCATCTGTCTTGTATTCTTCTGTCTGTGCGGGCAATGCGACGTCCTCTCTTCGGGCGATCTATCCACAAAATATTGCAACTTGCAGGCAGGCCACCGCTGGGGTTCTGGATGATCATGTCGCCCGGCGTGGCGATTGCCACCGTGTCACGCGCATCGTTCCCCACAGTTGCGCGTAACCTTGCCGAGTTTCGATCAGGACTGGCCCCTGACTTCATATTTGCATTGCGCAATAGCGTCAGCCGCAGCCAAAGGAAAGCACTTGGCATCGCGCGCGCAGGCAACCACAACACTCCCTAGCTTGTGATAAACAACATTGCAGCAAGCGACGGATGTGCAAACTTGCTGGGATGATAGCAACTTGCAGCCTCTCACATATTTTGCCGGCAACGGACACCTTCTTGTACCTCGCGCTATTTGCGGTAAAGAACAGACTTCTCTCAGCAAACTGGCACATCATCTGGTTCCAGTTCGCACGAGCACCGTTTTGAAGAAAGAACTCCCGAATTTCCATGACAAGCGGCGGCGCCAGAAACAGGGGCTTGCCCATGATTTGGTCCTGGCATCCCATGCCTGCGTAGTACAATCTAAACATGCAGCAATTGCCATTGCAACAAAGAGCAAGGCGAATGGAAGGCAGGGGTTGCAGTTAAGCTGAAGAGCCGAAGAGCTGTGAAACATCAAACGTGCTACTTGCGCAGACAGAGTGCAATGATCTCGGCTGAAGGCGCATCACTAAAAACACCGATCTGGGCAGCCCCACCAGGAGCAAGACGGAGGTACAGTCACAATCTTCCGTTGCATCTGGCGCACCATAGCGGGGTTGCGGGGTGGGGGCATCCCCCTCGAAAAAGTGATGATTCAATTAGGGGTGCATTTTGATCACTGCAAAAAGTCGTTAAGTCTTTTAAAAAAGTAGCAGGGGGGTTGGGGGGTGGCGGCAGGCCCCCCCATGATTTTGTTCGGAAAATTGATGATTCAATTCGGGGTCCATTTTAATCTCTGCAAACAAACTAAATCCCCCATGATGTTCGAAGAAGTTCACACGTACAGATATGCATACAAACATACCTACCTACCTACCTACCTACCTACATACCTACCTACCTACCTACCTACATACCCACACACCTATGTTGGCTTTCTACATATGTTAAAAAGCAGCGAGGGGAGTCCCCCGCATGATGGTAGAAAATGTGAGGGTTCAAATGGGGGTGCAATTCAACCTCTGTAAAACATCAAGAAAGTAGCGGGAGGCCCCCCAATGACAATTGAAAAAGCAAACATTGAATTAGGGGGTGCATTCTCATCTCTGCCAAACATATAAAAAGCAGCGGGGGCGGTAGGGGGGGGCCGGCAGCCCCCCCCCCATGATGTGCGAAAGGCTGCCACCCCCCAACCCCCGGCTACTGTTTATATGATTTACAGAAATTGAAATGTATTCCTAGTTGAATCCTCACTTTTTTGGCAATCAATGTAATGTAATGTAATGTAATGTAATGTAGTGTAAAGTTATGTAGTGTAATGTAATGTAATGTATGTAATGTATGTACTGTATGCAGTGTATGTAATGCATGCAATGTGTGTAATGTATGCAGTGTATGTAATGTATGAAATGTATGTATGTATGCATGCATGCATGTATGAATGCATGTAGGCATGTATGTACGTATGTATGTAGGCATGCATTACAGTATGCATGCAAGTAGGCATGTACAAAGGTATGTAGGTATGTAGGTATGTAGGTATGTAGGTACGTAGGTACGTAGGTATGTAGGTATGTAGGTATGTAGGTATGTAGGTATGTGGGTATGTAGGTATGTAGGTATGTAGGTATGTATGTAGGTAGGTAGGTAGGTAGGTAGGTATGTATGTATGTATGTGTGTGTATGTAGGCATGTAGGTATGTAGGTATGTAGGCATGTAGGTAGTAATGTAGGTAATGTAGGTAGTGTCGGTACTGTATGTACTGTAGGTGATGCATGCCTGCATGCGTCCATGCATGTATGTGATCTATGTATGTCTGTACGTGTGCACGTTTTCCAACCTATGGGGGGGTTACACTCCCCCCCCCCCCCCCCGGAGATTGAAATGCACTCCCTAATTGAATCATCACTTTTCGACAATCCAGAAAATAGCAAGGGGGGTGACGAGAGGAACTGGTGATGCTGAGGATGCGGGAAGCCAAGGCCAACAATCAACTGGGAAAGCAGAGGATGCGAAAAGCCAAAGCCGGAAAGAAAAAAAAACAATGCCGCATAAACCCACAAAACAGCCACAAATGCCAAAATGCCAAAAAGCCACCCACCCTGCAAAACCAAAAAGATCATTAAAGAAAACGACAAAAAATCCTTTAAAATAGGCCCTCCAAAGGAAAACCTCAATATAAGGCCCCGTGTCCCGCCAATCTTTGCGGGGTCAGCCCTTTGTTTGGGCCCAAGCCTCTAGGCGTCAAAACCGGACGCCCGGCACCCGGAAGTCGTAGAAGCCGCAGGTCGGCATGACAGCCGTTTCTCGGAGGGTTTTAGGCTAACAGCTTCACTTAAGATGGCACATGGGTTGTCTCAGCACGGGAGCAGTGTCACTCTTGAGTCTTTGGTGGTAGCGAGTCTTTTGACCTTTGAGGATGGGCAACTCAACAGCCTGTGGACCCTTCTTGGGTCCCCATTTGGCCATCAGCTGAAAGCTTTGGCTGACCGCATCAACCGGTGCTCCTGGAGAAGTTGCGGTCCCTCTCTGCCACTCGTCTCGCCTGGCAAGTGTCTTTGCCCCCACCCCCTGATCTCTCGGTGCATGCCTCATGGTGAAGATGTAGCCTATTACATGTGGCTTGCATACGGATTCGGATGGCACAATGTACCTTTTGGCAGAAAAGCACATAACTCGCGGTTTGGCAAGGCAACAACTCCGGCCAATTGAACACGGTCCACCGAGCTCAGCGCTTTTCGGCCAGCTCTGAAGTCATCTGCCGAAGTCCGACTCCAGGGGTGCCACGCTGCGATCCGCGAGTTCCGTGGACAGCGGATGTTCCTTCTCTCGGACTTGGTCGCTCCTTCGGGTTCTCAGGTGGCTCGGGTCGCACTTGTGACACTCAGGCCATGGTGTGCTGAGAGGGCCCGCCGAAAACCATGCCCGCAGCGGAAGTGCTTGGAGCGGTTTCATCAAGGAGCTGCTGCACCATATCGCCGTCCATGTCTGGCATGGGCTGCGCGTGGGTCGCCTGAATCAGCGCAAGAAACTTGCTCCCAAAAGTTCAACTCGTTGCCGCTGGGAAAATGCACATGCTGCAAGTCCCAGAAAAACGATGTCCACCACAGGGGTCTCAAGCAGGGCAGGACTCATAACAATTTACCCAAGCAACAAGGCCGTCCTGAATGGCTCTGTCGATCTGCGCCGTCTCGAAATATCGAAGCAGCTCATTCGGGTTGCACTTGGCCTGCAAAGCACAGGCCAAGCCTGAAATCATGGCCAGCAAGCTGCTCAACACGATGTGCCATGGGTGTTGCCATGGGATCCCATAAGGCCAGAAGTACTTTGGGACCCGGGTGCTGGGGGACAAGTGCATGAAACACACCTGGCGCCACAAGGTGAAACGTCCCACCTCCCGGACCAGCTGCGCACACTCCTGTGCCAGCTGCTTGACGCCCTCATCATCGAGACCCTGTCGATGCTCCAAACCCAAGAAAGCCAAACGAGGTGCTGTATATTTGAGGAGCCAACCCTGAGCTATAGGGGTCTGTCTCTCGAACTTCTCGCGAACCCTAAGATGGTTTCCTTAAATGTCGTCCCTTCAACATCACTTAAAGGAAACTCCTGGCTGCAACAGGTGGATTATGAGCAGTTCTAAAGCCCCCGTGGAAAACCAAGCAACTTCTGCGGGCCACCAACTGTTCCTCTCGCTTCACTTCACTAAAAGGCATCACACATCTTACTAATTTGCCTAGGAGATGGTTAAAGTCAGGGAACATTGAGATTTCCCATGGCAAGTGATCTCCGTTACGCAGCAGGAAGTCAAGGGTTAGCCGTTCGGGACTTTGACCAGTAGAGCAAAACTGGTCAACATGTTTGGCTTGGACACTAGTATACGTGTAGCAAGGAGAGAAAAAACTGGTCAACATGTTTCGCTTGGACAACAGGGCTTTAGTTTTGCGGGTCAAGACTTGCTTGTCGCCCGCCTGACACGCTAGCACCGGCTCCGCTTTGCTTGTACACGCTACATCGCGCGCCCGGCGCTGCTTTTTGGCCTCGTTCATGGCGTGCATGACCTGGGTCAACATCGGCCTATTTCCCTATTTGTTCACCACCTCAGCCCAATCCATGTTTTGTTGAATCTGCCAACCTTGAACAAGTACCCTCAGTTCAGAACCAACCCCCAGTTTTGGGCTCCTTCGACCATCGACCAAAACGGGGTCAGCAATTTTGAGGCACATGAGCGGTCCAAAGCCGTTAGCCTTGGGTCGGCAGAGCCCATGCCCAGGCCGAACTTCTCAGAAAGTCTGCACGGGCGCAAAGTGACATCGTGCACTCTCAAAATAGCCCAACAGCTAGATTTGACACGTTTCCACAACATGATTTGGACAATGAATCCTCCGGAGCGTATCCGGGCGAAAGTACACTTTCGTGAAACGTCGAATCGACCTGGGCCCTTTTAAAGTGACGTCCTCGAAACTACCCTCATGGCGAACTGGGTTCAAAGCCGGGACATCTTTAAAACTATACATTAGTTTCACTAAATATGAACCTTCAAAGCTTCCTTCCAAAACTGGTCCCCGGAAGTAATTTGCATGTTGAGAGGTTCTCCAAACTACTTTTGAGCATAAATATCTGTCTTCTTTTAGGGAATCCCCCTTTGGTTGGTTTTTCAAGGAATTCCAAAAGGAAAACCATCAAAGTGAATTTTGGTGGGTCCAACCTCAAAAAAGCACACACAGTCATAAGAGGATTTGGACCGCCACCTCCCCTCCCTCGCCTCGGGGGACACTTGGAGCTCGCGGATTTGCACCCCGTGCACCGCGAAGCCATAGGGCCGGAGGAAGTCCGTCAGCTGCTCCTGTGGCAAGCCCGAAAGGTGTTTCAAACACTCGCTTGCTGTTGACCCCCGTGCAAACAGTTTAACTTTTTTGGGGTTTAGTTGAAAATCCCTTGATTGCCCAAAAAGTTAAAGTCTAAAGATCCAACCCAATAGCAGTCCAGAACAAAAGGGGTCCTTTTTGCCTGCTTTCGTGGGAAAAATGATCGACAAAACCTCGTAGTGAAGGATTCCTTTTTGAGGGGGTCGCCCAATTTTCTCACAAAAGGTGGCAAAAAGACCCCCCTGGTATCAAATGGGCCAACCATGCTGAAGTTGCGCCAGGTGCCCAAGTTCATCATGAATCAAAACCAGGGCTTCAATAGCCCCACTAATGCTAGTTGCATAACCATTTGAACGTAAGGGATCTGTGGTGTACCTTTGGTTTCCCTTTGAAACCCTCACCACACTCCACCCCAGAAGAAATGGGCACCCGCCATGATATGGCCAGAAGTTGGCCACAATGGTATGATACTCTCCTTCAGATTAAACATGGAACCCAAAAAGACCCGCAGTTTTTTGGAGGGATCTCCCTTTCAAGCCGACTTCTCTTGGGTTCCATCTTAACTTAAAGGGGACACCCACCCTGCGACAAGCTCCTTAACCACTGAGGTGACCTCATCCTTCTTTCCGAAGACCTGCAAGAGGGGGGATTTGCGCTGCGAATTCACATGAAATCCACATGAATGGGAACCCCGGATTAAGCCTTTCGTTGATTAATAGGGTGTCCCCCAAAGTGAATCAGACCACTGCTGGAAAAACATGTTCCAATTAAACTGGATTCGTTCAATAAATCTGGGGCCAACATGAACATGAAACCCAAACACAAGAGGTTCCTCGAAACATGGTTCCATGCCAATCTGGGGAGTAATCCCCAACATTGGCTTTGGGAAGCAAAAGCGTCGTGTTCCACTGTCGCGAAGCCCCCGGCATGGTTGCTTCATCTTGATTCGGGGAGCTTGCGTTGGACTGGGGGGGTGCTTCTCAAAGTAGGGGTCCCCTAAGATCGTGGGCTTCCCTTTGGCTTTGAAGTACCAACTTAAAGGGGTCCACCATGGTCCATCATGGTCCACAGCAGTCCACCATGGTTCATCATTTTCAGAAACTGCCGGAGGGGGGGGGGGTCATGAGCAATTGTGTTGATGTGGATGATGACTGACACGGCTCAGAGGAGAATTCCGCCGAGCTTCGTTGGGAGAAAATAACCCTTTTTGTCATGCCTGAGAGGGCCATGCCACCATGCCCGTGACTTTCTCCATCCGAATATGTCTCACTGAACATGGGGCATCACTTCCATTAACGATACAGGCCAAGCTGGGGAAAACTTTTAGCAAAACTACAGCTGCATCATTCGACGAAGAGGAATGGGCGAGTTCGTGCTCCCATTCATGCATGTATCCCCGCCTGGACCCCCCTCCACTCACTAGCTGCTCGTGCCCCCTGTTATTGATCTGCGCTGGGCAGTGCACAGCGAGGAACGTCCCACCCAGTGCTTGCGAAGCGATCGCTAAGCGAGTTCTAAGCACATGCAAGTATTCAGAAAAGAAAGTGGACATATGCAGGAGTCAGCACTGACTCTCTTCGTGAAAAAGGCAAAAACAAATGCCACGGCATGTTCTCACCTGGTCAAGCCGTTGTAACGGGAATGTTTTGGCGCAACACATACGTTTCCCTATGGTTGCTACTTACTACTTTGTCTCCGGCCCAAGTGACATCTGTCAAATCCCTCAAAGCATCGCATCAGGTGCAAGGGACGTTTGTGTTGCTGGAAACATAGAAAGTCCTCGATCAAACGAGTCCAATCCAAGCCTGTCTCAGAGGTGGGGCAAAGCAATATTTAGGAAACGTGTCGTTCATGTTCGTTCTTTAGGCAAGTTGGCAAGTGGGTGCCACCTCAACATATGCAGGAGCAGACATCCACGAGAGCTACTCCAGGCTGAGTTGTTCTTACAGCAAAGGACAGCCCGACAAATCAATGGGCACCAAACCACCATGCGAGTTCCTTTCAAGTGACCCTTCCAACTTGAAAGCTGCCCTTGGACTTCCAAGAACGCTGAAAAAGGCGCTGCTTTTCAGGCTGGCAGGTTTGGTCTGGTTCCCATCCCGTGACTGATGGTAGGCCGAAAGTTGCACCTCCTCCAGGGTATTCTTGTTGAGGAATGTGCGGATCGGAGTGATGAGGAAGGACCGCATCAAGCTCTGCCGGTCCTGCTGCAGGAGCTTGTAGATCGCATCCTTTGCGTGCTTCGGGATGACCTCGTGCAACGCGTAGACTTTGTCGATCGATTGGGCATTGTAGTGTGGGGAAACCAAACGATTCCCCGTCTCTTGTTGGTTTCTGACTTCCGCAAGACTCTCAAGGGCAGGTCCGGAGCATGTGAGGGGTTGGAAGTTGGGACCATCAAGACGCCCATGAACACCTCTGCACCTCCTCTTTGTTGCATCAGCGGCGATGTGTTCAATATGTTCGCGGTCAACATCTGCTAGAAAAAGCCATTGCTCACATCCGAAAATGGCTTAAGCCTACCGAATTAAAGTTGCAGGAAAAGGAAGCTGTGGTTGATTCTCTAACAAAACAAGCCAGGGAACAACAGCAAGCTGCTGGGTTCACTCGCAACATTGAGGAAACCAACCGTACGGTGGTACATGCGCGCGATCTGTTCGCCTCACGCAGTCTCTTGGGATTCGGGCAGCTAACAGTACCCACAGCCCCCGAGGTTTGCCGTCACCCCCTAATCCACGCTTGTCCTGCCCATGCCCAGGTGACTCGAGTTCCTGCAGCACGTGGTTCAAGTATGGCACCCTTTACTAGTCAAGTAGCAGAACTCGTGCAGCCATATTTGACACGTGGTGACCTCCGTTCTCTTCAGAACGTAGGGCCGTGGTACCGCGAGGGCGTGGGTGGCAGGCAGGTTCAGGGTTTTAGGTTTAGGTTTCGGTTTGGGGCTTTATGGTTTTTAGGGTTTAGGTTTAGGGTTTTACGGTTGTTGGGATTTAGGTTTAGGGTCTTTAGGGTTTAGGTTTTAGGTTTTTAGGGTTTAGGTTTAGGGTTTTTAGGTGTAGAATTTTTGGGGCTTAGGTTTAGGGTTTTTAGGGTTCAGGTTTAGGGTTTTTAGGGTTTAGGTTTAGGGTTTTTAGGTTTAGGGTAGGTTTAGGGCTTTCAGTGTTTAGGTTTAGGGTTTTTAGGGTTAGGTTTAGGGTTGTTAAAGTTTAGGTTTGGTTTTTAGGGCTTAGGTTTAGGGTTTTTAGGCTTAGGTTTAGGGCTTTCAGTGTTTAGGTTTAGGGTTTTTAGGGTTAGGTTTAGGGTTTTTATGGTTTAGCTGCGCTTGGCTTTACGAATCGTGACAAAGTAACAGCAGTGGCAGCGCAGACAAAATGCTTCAGGCGGGTCGGAGCTTCGTGATCTCCGGGTCTTGGTGTTGGGGCGTTGGTTCCGGGCGCCGGCAAACCTCAGGGGCTGGCCGTAACAGTATTGAACTGAGCGCCCCAAGACAAACGGCAACGAGTACTCATCTGCGAAGCCCATGTCCGACTTTCATGGGTGAGCTTGATTTACCCCTGAGCTCATTCCCGTCGCGCATGGTTCAAAGTCTGAACCAACAACCTTGGGTATGTCTCAAGATCGGGGCATCCGTATTTGGTTGGTGTTCCTTGGGGCTTCCCGTTTACCCAAGCCTGGGAATCTGAGAAAAGACTCCGTCTTTTGGCGAATGACTAAACGCCGTGGAACCGTGGAGAAGAGACAAAGAAAATCTACCAAATGAACAAACACAAACACGCAACAAGGCAAAGCAAAGCAAAGCTTAAAGCAAACCAAGCCAAAGCAAAGCAAGCTTAAAGCAAACCAAAGGCCACAGCATTCTAAGGAAACGAAAACCAGAAAATAAGAAGCAAACCTTAAACCAAAGCAAATTCAGGCAAATCACAACACACACAAGGCTATCCAAAGCAAACCAAACCAACCACCAAAGCCAACCGTTCAACCAAAGCAAATCAAAGAAAACCAAACCAAACCAATGCAAGCCAGCAAAACAGTTGGCGCTGCGTTCAAGAACACCGGGTGGCCGAATACTCCACCTCCACCTCTGCAGTGATGAACTCGTGGTCTTTGGTCTGGGTGGAGATGGCGCAAACCTCCCAGTCCCTGGCAATGGTTGATTTGATTTGAGCCACTTGACCCGAGACGCTCAGTCCCTGGGCGAGGAAGCTCCCCCTGCAAGTTGCTTAGACGCCACACACGGCAAAAAGTGGGCACCGTGCGCTATTTCGGGACAACGAAGCGTAAAGGTCTGTGAAGTTGGCAAGTCCTAAGCATGCGGATCGGAGTGTGATACCAAAGTATATAACCCCACAGCGGCCAGGTTGCTGCTCGATTTGGAGCTGACATGGTGCTTTGTATTGTTCCCTAGCGTCGCCCAGGAAACTCATTGCCGCCGCCCACAAGGTGATGCTGAAGTCACCCCTCCCACGCCTTCGAGTCGGGTTGCATGAATCTGTGTCTAGCTTGCGTCATGGAACCATGGAACCAAGACACGTAGCAATCCCCCATCGGCTGCGCGTCTTGCGCCTGGCCCCGGAGATGGGCCGCAGCGTCACGCAGCTGCCGCAGACGTCGCAGCCCGCGAAGCCGAGGCCCGGGCCCAGCAGCGCCGAGAAGGCCCCGAAGCGCTCCTTGGGGAGGGCGCTTGGGGGGCTGCGGGTGGCTCGGCGGTTTGAGGGGCGGGGGGGGGAGGGGGGGTTAAAAGGCAACCCAAAAAAACACCCCTGTTTTTTGGGAGGTCCTCTAAAAGAAGACACACCCAAAAATTGATTGCTTAATTATTGTCGTTGCTTGACTAATTTCAGCTATTGCATGTCCACCAAGCTTGCTTTGCAATCAGACATTTGATGATTCATACTGCTTAGGATAAGGATGTTGATCCTATGTCTTCAACCAGCTTCCAATGTGGCGCTGAATCTAAACGCAGCTCAGCCCATAGTGGTCTTGGCGATTATGAGCTGGCCCGCAGTCAATTCTTTAATGTTGGCAAGGCTCCACTGCGACATAGGTGTCTGTCGGCACGCTTACCTGAGACCAAACTGGCGACCGACAACAGCCTACATTCTGATGTTGTCCACCCCTTCACTAAGAATCCCTGCATCCTAATGAGTCTGAACAAGGAGCACTTCTTGGATTAATTGACTCAATGGGCTGTGAAAGCTGTTCCACATACTTGTTCTCACCACCCAATCAGCACCCACACCAGCAGTCAGCAAAGCCAAAACTGCACCGCCACTGAACCGCCACTGCTGCTGCTGCTGCTGCTGCTGCTGCTGCTGCTGCTGCTGCTGCTGCTGCTGCTGTCCAACACACCTTTAAACTGACTTAGGGGTCAAATCTGCACAAACCGAAGACTTATCATTTTGTTTGAGCAATGCCAATGATTTGGGCCTTGCCCGTATCTTGCACCCTTGAATCTCTTCGTTCTATGCCAGCTGTGTACGTGACGGTACGCAATGTAGGAAAGTCATCCTTTCTCAGTTGTATCTCTAGGGAGTTGGACAATCTGGACCAAGCAATCCCCGCCAGTCTGACCACTGCTACACCTGCAACGGGGTCCAAAAGCGATGCAAACACCCGCAGTGATCACGTAGCCGTGGCACCAAGCAGTTGGTGCCAGGAAAGCAGCCGCGCATCAGAACAAGTTGAAACACATCGAGTCAGACCTCCAACCTCCAGTCGAGGTTCAAGAGTGCTTAGTGAAAGTGCACTGTCCAAACGGCTTTTCACAATTCCAAGCCATGTGTGCATCCTTGGCGAAATTACTACATGGGGTGATTTCCTTCGAGCAACTCAGAGTGCTTACAGCCAAAAAAATGTGTTGTTTTTTAATGATCAAAAAAAGACAAAAGAAAAAACAGTCACAAGGTTGATATCGTGCAAACAAAGGATGCCTTCCAGAGCGACGCTTGAGCAGAATCGCCTGCACCCAAAGCATAGCATCCCCCAATTCCTCTGGGTACTACGGGGGTCTGGAAACATTGAATTCTATTGGCCTTTCGTTGCACCCATTGGCAGCTGTGGGTCCCATAGGCACAAGACTCGTGTGGACAGGCCTTTAGTTCGAAGCCGGAGGTTGGCACAGCTTGAAGGGCTGTTGACCCAGACTTTTGGACAGCAAACATAATCATAAAACCAAAGACCCCCCAGCCATGCTGCTCGAAAAGGGTTCTGTTCGAAGGGGATCTGATCGCAGAGTTCTTTGGAATACCTTTCTCGTGGGTACGTTGTGACAGGCTCCTTATATGTCTGCTTTCAACATCACCCCGCCAAGAAAGCATCCGCACAAAGATGGCCCATGATGACGTGATGTTTAAATCACCTAATGAGTTACCTTCACGACTTTCTGGTGTGACCCCCTAGTATGTAGGTAAATCCGCCGACATTGCTCGGCGTGTCGGATACCAATCAGAGGACTATTGGATACCTAAGAGAGGATAGAGGATAACCCCCCCCCCCCCCCCTCCCCCTCCTACCGCGCGGCAATTTGATGACGTTCCACTGAACGTAGTCTTCGGGGAGCCGGTGTCGCAAAACAGGGGTCCCAGGCTCGATTCCCCCTGCCGGCTTTTTTGCTGGCTTGGGCTTCCTACATCTTTTTGCCGAAAATCTGGAACACTCCATGTTTTTGGACGTCTTTCATACATGCATCCATTGCATTCATTTCATACATTACATTCATTACATTCCTTACATACATTACATACATACATACATACATACATACATACATACATACATACATACATACATACATACATACATACATACATACATACATACATACATACATACATACATACATACATTACATTACATTACATTACATTACATACATACATACATACATACATACATACATACATACATACATACATACATACATACATACATACATACATACATACATACATACATACATACATACATACATACATACATACATACATACATACATACATACATACATACATACATACATACATACATACATACATACATACATACATACATACATACATACATACATACATACATACATACATACATACATACATACATACATACATACATACATACATACATACATACATACATACATACATACATACATACATACATACATACATACATACATACATACATACATACATACATACATACATACATACATACATACATACATACATACATACATACATACATACATACATACATACATACACATACATACATACATACATACATACATACATACATACATACATACATACATACATACATACATACATACATACATACATACATACATACATACATATACATTACATACATACATACATACATACATACATACATACATACATACATACATACATACATACATACATACATACATACATACATACATACATACATACATACATACATACATACATACATACATTACATACATACATACATACATACATACATACATACATACATACATACATACATACATACATACATACATACATACATACATACATACATTACATACATACATACATACATACATACATTACATACATACATACATACATACATACATACATACATACATACATACATACATACATACATACATACATACATACATACATACATACATACATACATACATACATACATACATACATACATACATACATACATACATACATACATTACATACATTACATACATACATACATACATACATACATACATACATACATACATACATACATACATACATACATACATACATACATACATACATACATACATACATACATACATACATACATACATACATACATACATACATACATACATACATACATACATACATACATACATACATACATACATACATACATACATACATACATACATACATACATACATACATACATACATACATACATACATACATACATTACATACATACATACATACATACATACATACATACATACATACATACATACATACATACATACATACATACATTACATACATTACATACATTACATTACATACATACATACATACATACATTACATACATACATACATACATACATACATACATACATACATACATACATACATACATACATACATACATACATACATACATACATACATTACATTACACATTACATTACATTACATTACATTACATTACATTACATTACATTACATTACATTACATTACATTACATTACATTACATTACATACATACATACATACATACATACATACATACATACATACATACATACATACATTACATACATACATACATACATACATACATTACATTACATACATTACATACATACATTACATACATTACATTACATTACATTACATTACATTACATACATACATTACATTACATTACATTACATTACATTACATTACATACATACATACATTACATACATACATACATACATACATACATACATACATACATACATACATACATACATACATACATACATACATACATACATACATACATACATACATACATACATACATACATACATACATACATACATACATACATACATACATACATACATACATACATACATACATACATACATACATACATACATACATACATACATACATACATACATACATACATACATACATACATACATACATACATACATACATACATACATACATACATACATACATACATACATACATACATACATACATACATACATACATACATACATACATACATACATACATACATACATACATACATACATACATACATACATACATACATACATACATACATACATACATACATACATACATACATACATACATACATACATACATACATACATACATACATACATACATACATACATACATACATACATACATACATACATACATACATACATACATACATACATACATACATACATACATACATACATACATACATACATACATTACACATACATACATACATACATACATACATACATACATACATACATACATACATACATACATACATACATACATACATACATACATACATACATACATACATACATACATACATACATACATACATACATACATACATACATACATACATACATACATACATACATACATACATACATACATACATACATACATACATACATACATACATACATACATACATACATACATACATACATACATACATACATACATACATACATACATACATACATACATACATACATACATACATACATACATACATACATACATACATACATACATACATACATACATACATACATACATACATACATACATACATACATACATACATACATACATACATACATACATACATACATACATACATACATACATACATACATACATACATACATACATACATACATACATGCATGCATGCATGCATTGCATTGCATTACATTACGTTACGTTACATTACATTACATTACATTACATTACATTACATTACATGCATACATTACATACATACACACATACACACATACACACATACATACATACATACATACATACATACATACATACAGACAGACAGACAGACAGACAGACAGACAGACAGACAGACAGACAGACAGACAGACAGACAGACAGACAGACAGACAGACAGACAGACAGACAGACAGACAGACAGACAGACAGACAGACAGACAGACAGACAGACAGACAGACAGACAGACAGACAGACAGACAGACAGACAGACAGACAGACAGACAGACAGACAGACAGACAGACAGACAGACAGACAGACAGACAGACAGACAGACAGACAGACAGACAGACAGACAGACAGACAGACAGACAGACAGACAGACAGACAGACAGACAGACAGACATACACATATATATATATGCATACATACATACCAGAGAGGGAGACTGGGCATGGAGAGGCTTGGGGGGATGGGGAGGATGGGGAGTAGAGGGAGGGAGAGAGGACGACAGAACACACAAGGGAGACAAGGGAGAGAGGCAGAAGGAGAAAAGGGAGAGGACAATGTCGGCGGACTGAGCCGGAGGCTCTAAAGTTAACCATTCAACTAAGCTTAGCTCTTCGGAACCAGCCACCAAAGGGGCCCAAAGTGTCCAGGATGACATCTGACACACGCCCAATTCAAGGGTCAAGAAGCTCCTTATTTACAAACAGACCTTCATTCGAAATAGCATGATTGGCGTCATGTTGCATAGCTTAAATGGCAACTACCCTGGACCATATTTGGGTGTGTCTTTCTTTCGGGGACCCCGCAATTGGTGGCGGTGGGTTTCCTTTTGGTGCCCCTTTGAACCAAACCCAAGAAGGGTGCCCTCAAAAAACGACACTCTCATTTGTTGAGATGAGCAATTCGCCTTTGAACGGGTACAGGCACGAGCTATCCCTGAATGGAACGGCTTGTGCCACGGAAACTGCCCTTCCAACAATTGCGTGGCAACACCACACGTGACACAATGCTGGCAAAATCCCTCATGCGAGCATCCAACCCAAGATGCGTGTCTTTCCCTGGAATATTCTGAAGCCTGATTTACACAGCAAACGGTTGTTAGTCAGAGGGTGTAGGAAGTCTATTC